TGTGCTACATTTTACCTACCCCTTTCCTTTGCAATGTGCCACCGCGTCATGTGCACTGGTGGTTCGCGTCGCGGGTCGCCTACTTGATAGATGACATGAATTTGCCTACTTGCATATGGAACAAAATCAACGAATCAGGCGGGTGAACTGTGCACTATCAGCCAATCCAGAGGAAACGCGCACGCTGACCCACTCCTACTTGCGTGTGTGCAGCCACGAAGGGAGCGTGCTATGTTGCTGCTGCTTAGTAACAAGCAAATCCAGCGCCATAATCTCCGCTTCGTGGCCCACCAGCACCACAACCCTTAGAGCGACTCGCTCTAGACTAACATAGCGATCGTCGAACTCTAGTCCCAAGCGTCCCGCCCGCCCAGAGTTTCTTCCCAAGACTAACGAGTACGGTAAACAGCGTCCCAATCCCATGTATTCAGTTCAGAGCTTTCCCAAACCAACGAGTACAGTGAAAGCGACCAGTATCAGCTCAGCTCTTGTCTCTTCCTCGGGCCCCTTACGCCTCTCCTCTGGCCCGCCGCGCCGCATGGCGCCCGTCCCTGTGGATGGATCACCAGCGGAGTGTTCGCACTTTTAGGGCTCTTCTCCCTTTTCTCAAGGCAACCTCCCTCTTCAGCGATCGCAACCCGTTAGGAGGCACCCACCGTCTCTCGCACGACTGCTAATACCTCACCTCAGATTAACCTTTCCACGCCAGCGTCACTGAATGATAGGTCAGCATGGCGTCGCCAAACAGTGCTAGCTCGCGCGCCGACTCCCGAACTAAATTGCGCGGCTCCTCGCCGCCTCCGCGCCCCCCGCTCGTCGCGGCACTAGAAGGAACAATGTGCCCTTTCCCCCGCGCCAAGGGTGCGCGCGGCCCCCTCACATGGCTGCACGCCGCGCTCTGCTCCCCCCATCACGCGGCGCTGCTGCGAGCCCCTGCCGCCCTCTTCTTCCTGCTCCTCATCACCGCATGGTTCTCGGGCGCGCTGCATTGGCCCTTGTTTTCCCTCCCCGCATTCAGCGCCGTCGAAAGCGGCGTAGGGCCGTCTGAACTTGCAATTGAGGAGGCACGGCTGCAGGCGATTGAGAGTCTAGCCTTGAGATTGTCGCCGAAGTCGACGAAGCAGCACGACGACGTGGCAGCTGGAGGTGACGTGAAGAGAAAAGCGCCGCGAAAGGTGGGCGGCGGGAAGGCGCATCCGCCCGTGAAGAAGGGGGAGCAGGCGACGGTGAGTGCGAAAGAGGCGCGTGGCGCTGAAGGGGTAGCGGAGGGATCAACCACGCAACTCGCGAAGCTGTCTGCTAAGGAAGTGGCGAAAGACATGGATAACTTGCTAGCGGAGGAGGAGATTTCGGCGGGAGACGCGGGTGGGACGCGGGATGGCAACGGGCTGGAGAGTGGGCGCGAAGGGGCCGATGCGTCGGACGATGTAAGTGGATCGACTGGTGAGGGGGGCAACGGAGAGTGGGAGGGGCGGACGGAGAGGACAAGGGAGGTGAATAAAGCTTCTGGGGAGGATGAGGGGAGGCGAGGAGCTGGCGATGACAGCGAGGACGAAACAGGCAGAGTGGATCGCGATCGACTCGATCCAGACGGTCCCCCCGCCCACAGCGATGGTGCGGCTGGTGACGCTCTGAGCGAGAATGAAGGTGATCCCGTTGCCGCCGCTCACAATTCCCCCTCTCCGACAGCTGTCGCATCAGTTTCCGCTGCTGACACGTCGGGTGACTCCTCGTCATCACCCCATTCCGAAGATACCGCGCTATCAGCATCGTCGCAATCACCATCGCCCAACGGGAACGACGGCTCTGAGGCGACGACATCCGTCGCACAGCCATCGTGCGACGGTCGTCGTGTGTTCGTCTACTCCATGCCGCCCGTCTTCAACGACGACATAGTTCGCACGGCGTGCAACGACGACCCGCTGCTCGCATGGCTCACCTGCGATGCCTTCCGCAACCGCGCGCAAGGCCCCCGCCTCCCCGCCAACCGCGACGGCGGGCGCGCGCTGATCGCCGCGCTGCTGGCGGCGAAGATGGAAAAAACGGCGCAGGCGCGCGGGGAGGGGAAAGCGGAAGACGCGGAAGCGGGGGAATGGGCGTGGCTGCACCGGTGGTACAGCACGGAGCAGCACCAGATCGAAGCGCACTTCCGCACGCGCTTGGAGAACCACCCGTGTCGCACGCACGACGATACCGAGGCTGACGTGTTCCTGGTGCCGGCGTATATGGGGTGGAACGCGTATAAGAACACGCTTCACCCGGGCCACATGCCGCACCCGGGTCACTCGCTCAAGGAGTTTCTTCTCGGGCAGCCCGCGTTTCAGCGAAGCAAGGGAGCGCGCCACGTGGTGGTGCTGGGGCGCGCGATTTGGGACTTCGCCAATCACCATCAGGTGGACGAGCCGCCGCATTACAACGTCATTTTCGTGCCAGAGCTCGCTAATGTCACATTCCTTACAGTTGAGCAGCCGCCTTATAGAGAGAGCTACGCCACGCCTATATTCTCAGTACCATACACTACCACTTTCCACCCCGCGTCGCTCGCGGAAATCAACCACTGGCTCGCGCTCGTCGCCGCGCGCCGCCGCCCGTTTCTCTTCTCCTACGTGGGCGGACGCCGCCTCTCGGGCACGACGAGCGGGCCGCTGCGCAAGGCGCTGATCGCGGAGTGCGAGCGCGCGGGGAACGCGACGTGCCTGTGGATGAAATGCACGGGGCCCGACGAGGTGGGGCAGGAGCTGCCGCTCTTCACGGCGGCGGACGCGGCGGCGGACGCAGGGACCGCGCTGGGAGCGGCGGTGGAGGCGGTGGTGGGGAGCGCGACGCCGCGGGACGCGGAGGGGGAGGACGTGGCGGAGTGGGTGCCGTCAGGATGCTATGACACGTGGCAGGTGGCGGTGGTGATGCTGCAGAGCAAGTTTTGCCTTCAGCCGACAGGGGACAGCTCTGTTAGACGCTCCACGTTTGACTCGTTATTAGCAGGCTGCATTCCCGTGTTCTTTAAAGAGGAGAGCTTTAACATGCAGTACCCGTGGCACTTCCCCGAAGACAGGAGCACCATCTCCGTGACGCTCGACGAGGCTCGTGTGCTGAATGGGACGGCTGACGTGGCAGCTGAGCTGGCAGCGATCCCGGAGGAGCGTGTGGCGAGCATGCAAGCGAGGATAAGGGAGTTGGTGCCGCAGCTGCTGTACCGCCACATGGCAGTGCCACGTGGAGGGGAGGGGGTGGAGCGGAAGGTTGGGGGGGATACTAGAGAGGGCGGTGGGGTAGAGAGTGGTGACGGGGAGTGGAATGATGCTTTTGATGTGTCGTTTGACAGCCTTGTTGCTGAGTTCAAGCGGAGAGAGGGGAAGAGTGAATGAAGGAGAGGGGGGTGAGTGAGGGGAGAGGGGGATGAGTTAGGGGGGAAGAGGGGTAGTGGGAGTGCAACGGTGGAAGAGTGAGTGAGTGTAGTGGGGAGTGAGTGAGGAGGCAGCGCAGATTAGGTGTGGTTAAGGAAGCAACAGTGAGCGGAGAACAGGCAGGTGGGTTGGAAATAAGCAGTCGAGCTCAACATTCTCGTGCAGGGTCGGTGCCCGTGCTCCCTCGGCACGCATCGGCAGGCAGCAGGCGTGGGCAGGCAGCCGCACGCTGTGGTGTGGTGCTTGCCCCGTGCTCACCGCCTGGAGTTGGAGCAGCAGGGTGGGGTGGCTGGCAGGGGTGAATGGAGCAGCAGTGGGCGTGACATGACAGAGAAGAGCTAGAGTGAGGGAGCCAAGGGGGCAGGGGTCAAGAGGGGAGCCAAGGGGGCAGGGGTCAAGGGGGGAGCCAAGGGGGCAGGGGTCAAGGGGGGAGCCAAGGGGGCAGGGGTCAAGGGGGGAGCCAAGGGGGCAGGGGTCAAGGGGGGAGCCAAGGGGGCAGGGGTCAAGGGGGGAGCCAAGGGGGCAGGGGTCAAGGGGGGGGGGAGCCAAGGGGGCAGGGGTCAAGGGGGGAGCCAAGGGGGCAGGGGTCAAGGGGGGAGCCAAGGGGGCAGGGGTCAAGGGAGGAGCCAAGGGGGCAGGGGTCAACGGGGGGGAGCCACGGGATGAGTGAGGGGGAGGAGCAGAGGAGCAGGCATAGGCAGTGCGACAGCAGCGAGTAATGGCGGCATTAATGTCCCTCATTCTGGTTCCTGGTTGGCTGGCTGGTGGGTCTGGATGAGACGGCCTGGATGGATAGCGAGTGCAGCGCAGGTAGGTAGGTAGGTAGGTCCGGTTGAGAGGAAGCTTGTGAGCGACTTGAGGGCAGTGCGGGGCATTCAGAGGACGCAACCCGCTTGGTGGCTACCATGAATGGGCCACATGGCCATGGGATGGGCGTGGGTTAACTTTGCCTGATGCATAGGGGGTAGCATAGGACAGATATTCTTTGAATTGCATTCTTTATCTGGTTGTACTGTATTGCAGGATGGTAGTTAGATGTTACAACTTGTAGAAATATGTAACACTGAGGGCGTATTCCTATCCTCCTATCAATCTGACCTCCTATCAAGCTCACTAAAAAATCCCCTAAACCCAAAACCTCTCGCTACTTTCCACAGGCGAAAGGTACAATCTTGATAGGAGGTGGCTTGATAGGAGGCCGTAGGAATACGCCCTGAATGTAGAGTAAGTGCTTAACTTAATTCAAGGCCCCGCTAGTCCACCAGATGGCTGTGGCTGCAGTCACAAGGATACCAGTTATGGTGTCGCCCACTTTCAGACTGGCTTTCCAAATTTAGCCGTATCATCAGAGATGGATGTATGCTGCAGCCCACACATGCATGCCTAACCCCTGCCATTCCCTGCAACGTCATGCCACAAGATGGCACACCATGGCAGCACAGCAGATGCAGCGGCGTCAATCGTGCGCCTCAGAGGCCCTCCACTCCAGCACGCGCCGCTCCACGCGCTCCCCTCCCTCCTCCGCCACCCAGCATGCGAGGCATGGCACGGCGGCGCCCATGTGCCCTTCTCACGGCAGCTACTCGGATGTCTCGGTCAAAAGCCCTCCAGCTTGCGCCGCTCCACGCGCTCCTCCCCTTCCTCCGCCAGCCAGCACTTGAGGCGTGGCAGCCACGCCTCCCTGACGGCACGGAAGCGCTGCAGCGACGGGCTGTCGGAGAGCACCAGCAGCACCACTCGGTCGTTAGGGCGCAGCGGGGGAGGTACGGAGGGGATGGGCACCAGCATCTGTGTGCAGGGGCACAAGTGGGGCATGCAGGGGGGGCGCATAAGGGGGGTGGCAAAAAGGGGCATGGGTCATCTGGGAAGAATTGGCAGCAGCAGGTGGGACGGGGAGGATGTGGGGCATGTCCATCCGCATCTGCACACACACTGCCACAAGGCGTGCACCGTGCACGGGAAGGCGAGCGGTTGTGGCGAGCGCAAAACGAATGGAGGTAAGGGAACAGAGAGAGGACGGGCACCAGAGGATGGTGCTGGTGTGCATGCTAGAACAGGCATAAGGGTATGAGCCATGGAACATGCACAAGTGAAACTATCAGGATTGACAATTGCAGTATTTGACTCTGCGGGTGCTGCTGGCGTCATTCCCACTTGCCTCTATGCATGTGCCGCTGTCATCGCCAATCAGCAACCGCCACCTGGCCAGCGGGCCCCTCTGCTCCACCTGCACGTCCAGGAGCTGCGCCTGCCACACGCCTGACGGGGAGGTGACATGTGGGGGAGGTGGCACAGAGAGGAGTTACATGTTGGTGCATGCAATCCCCACTTGGGTAACAATCACCTCGTCCCTCTCTGCACGTCTGAGAGACGCACATTTTGGTAGCCATGCCCTGAACCGACAGCAACGGGAGGAAAAGATTGGCAATCAGGAAATGTATCATGCATGGGTGGGATGGAAATGATTGAAGGGGGAGAGCAATGTGGGCGTAGAGGCAAGTGGATGGCATGACACTTGACTCTGCTCTGTGCATGCGCTCTGTCTCATGCCCTTCTGCATGCTTTTATCACTCCCCACTCACCCACGAGCTCATACCCGACTCCAAACACCTGAAATCCTATATCAAAATCCCCTCACCTGCATACTTATATCGGACCCGGAGGGCAGAGTTGCAGGCAGCAGCATGCCAGAGAGGCCACCAGAGGAAGTACATGGCGGCAGCGATGGTGGCGAACACGTTCACGTTGTACAGCAGCACTGCGCCGCCCATGGAGAGCACGAAGCGCTGCAGCCAGTCTAGCGGGGAGCCCATGCAGGCCACAACCTGAGCGAGAGAGTGTGGGAGTGAGAGACGGAGGGAGAGAGGGAGTGATGGAGGGAGCGCGTGTGGGAGCGAGTGTGAGGAAGGGCACAGCAAGCCATGGGTGGGCCGTCGTGGCATGCAATGCAATGCAATGCAATGCAATGCGTGGGTGCAAGAGCATGCATGAGAGTGGCAGTTGCATGCGTGGCATGTGAGCGCATGGCACCTGGGAGCCAGAGCCAGCACAAGGGAGGAGCGAGTCCAGTGAAGAGCGGGGCAGGGGGAGCACCGAGGGGAGAGGGCGCGACGAGGAGGTGGGGGAAGGGGAAGGCTGGCGGAGAGGAACAGGGGCAGGGGGAGGGGGTGAGGGGATGGGTGCGAGGGGGAAGGAGGAGGAGGAGAGGGGCTGCAGTTGCAGCTGTTGCTGTGGAGGTGATGATTGTGGCAGTTGCCTTGATGCTCGCTGCTTCTGCTGCTGCTGCTGCTGCTGCTGCTGCTGCTGTAATCTCCTGCTCATGTCCCCACCAACCATCCCAGTACCCATGCTCCCACCCGTGCTACCCCCCCCATCTCCGTCGGCCCCACGCCTCTTTTCAGCGTACTCCACGGCTCTCCACCCGGCCTCCCACCCTTCACCCGCATCCCCACAGCGTCCCTCTGCTCCAACTCGTCTCACGCGCTCTACATTGCCGTCCCCCATCCACCCCTCCACGCCCCCCGCCCTCCCCCCTTCTGCTCCGCCCCTCTCCTCCCCCCAGCCTCCGCGTTGACCCCGCACGCCCTGCTCCTCGCCGTCCCCATCCCATCCGCTCCCCCAATCCGCAGCCCCGTTCTCCCGCCCCCTCCCCGTGTCCCACTCCCCGTTGAGCACCGACTGCGCTCCCGCGTCGCCATTGGAAGGTCGCGTCAGCCAATCAACGGCGCCGCCTGCCTCCTGCCGCAGCCTATCCTCGGATGCCATGTCATCGGCGTACCCAGCAACACGCTGCCGCGAACCCTTACTTCCCGCCTTTCTTCCCTGAGCTATGCGCCACTCCCCCTGTCGCTGCGACTGTGTTTCCGCCCCCCACCGCTCCCCCTCCCCGCGACGCTCCTCCGCCTCGAAGCCTTCCGCCCAGCGCCCCGCCGCCTGCGACAATTTCCGCCCTTCCGAACGCCCCTTGGGTCCGCTGCCCTGTCCGGCCGTTGCGCGTACGCGAGCGGAAGCGCGAACCACAGCAGAAACAAGGGCGGCGCGCGCAGGCACGAGCGAAGCAGGTCGTGCGGCTGCGAGTAACGACAGACCGCAGCTATTGGCGCAGCGCAAACGCTCCCCGTTGAGCGCGCGAGCGGAGGGCGACGCAACGGGCGGAAGCATGGCTGCGGGCAAGGGAGACTAGAACTAGAGGCGAAGGGGCGAAGTGGTGACTGCGGGGCGAGGCGGAGCACCGTCGAGAGGCAAGCAAGGTGCAGGCGGACGTTGGAGTGAGTGTTGAGCAACGCGCGAGTCTGAAGAGTTGGACATGTTGCTTGGTGTCATCAGACAATACACGCGATAAGATAATGCTCTCGATTTTTGAGAAAATGTACAGTACTTGTATCTAAGTTACCGTATAACTATTTAACATAACACTGGCCTAATTCCATCTAAGGGATGGTCAGAGTGCATCAGTGACACACGTATACTATTATTGTGGAAGGGGCCCCGTTCCACTAGAAGGCGTGCGTTTGGCATAAAGCATTTTGAGAATTCTCAAAACACTCAGTGCATAGCTCTAACCTTGAAAAATAGAAAAAGGCTTTCTCGGCCATGCCCCTTGGTTCATGAGCAACCAGCTATTCGTCTGCCACTCGTGACGAGCTTGCCGATCAGGCAGGCTCATCCTTGGGATTCGTCCCACAAACCGTGTGCGCAACACAGTCATCATCCTTCCTCCCCTTCCCTTCCTCGTCTCCCCCGGTCACGTGCCTGGTTTGCGCTTGAAGCGGTTGGGCTTGGTGGGGTCTAGCGGCACATAGGGTGGTGGGGAGGCCGGCGGTGGCGGCGGCGGCGACTTGGCGGGCGACGGCGACGGCGACGGCTTAGGCTTGGAAGGTGATGGGGATGCCTTCGGCTTGGAGGGCGACGGGGAAGGCTTGGGCTTCTTGGGCGTTGGCTTGGGCTTGGGTTTCGGTTTAGGCTTGGAGGTAGGCTTGGAGGCGGCAGTGGTGGAGTCGCCAGAGAAGAGCGGCTCGGCGAGCAGCATCTCGTGAAAGAGGTCGACCCATATGTCCGGCACGCCTGGTTGGCACCAATGTAGGCAGTCCAGGTACTTCACCGGCTGTTGGGTTGGGCGGTGGGGATATGGGATGGGATTGGGAGTGGGGATGGGTATGAGCATTGGGAAAGTTACGAGAATGGGGATTCGGTGGGGTAGGGACAGGCAAGGGAGTGGATATCTGTGCAATAGACAGCATCCTCTCTTGGAAAAGGTCCACCCATATGTCAACATGCCCGGCTGGCACCTTTGCAGACAGTCGAGCGACTGGTGGGGAAGGGGTAGGTGGGGGTTGTGGGCATGGTATCGAAGGTGGGATGGATATAAAATTGAGAATGGGGATGCGAGTTGTGCATGCATTCATATGACGGGCACTCCTGGCGGGCACCGGAGCAGACAGTCTAAGGGCGCGTGTCTTTTGGTTTTTATAAGCAAAACTCGAGTATTTGGTTGAACTTTTCCATCTGAGCCTAGGTCGACCTAGGCTCGAGTATAGCCAAATCTGTAACCCGAGTCGCGGTTCCAACACTCTCGAGAACCACAAGACACACAAATGGTCGACTTTCGAAGTTGAACTTTTGCAACTTTCCCGAGTCGCGGCCCATAGTCGTAGGTTACCCGGTTTGGCCTCTTGACAGAGCGCCACGTATGTCCCCTTGCGTCCACCGCCACATGTGAGTTGGCGAAGCCGGAACCCTGTTGATCGAGTCGCTCGTGCTAACGACGTCAGCTGCGACAGTCGCAGAATTCGCTTCTTCATCGTGTTTGGTCAAAAGGACACACGATTGGATTTTCGTGCGAGACTGTTTGGTACGAGAAGATCAACCATAGATTCGGTCCCGCTTCAGACATGACATTGTCCTTGGACACACGATGGCCATGCGAAGCATCTAACGAAATTAACGAATAAGGTTACCACCAAAAGTTCAACCAAATTTCCGAACGTCTGCACCAAAAGACACGCGCCCTAAACACTTCACCGGCTGTAGGGGATGGGCTTTGAGGGGGTGGGCTGTGGGGGGTGGCCGGTTGGGATGCGAGTGGGAATGAGAGTGGGGATGGGGATGGGGATGGGGATGGGGATGGGGATGGGGATGGGGATGGGGATGGGGATGGGGATGGGGATGGGGATGGGGATGGGGATGGGGATGGGGATGGGGATGGGGATGGGGATGGGGGTGGGGGTGGGGTGGGGATGGGGATGGGGATGGGGATGGGGATGGGGATGGGGATGGGGATGGGGATGGGGATGGGGATGGGGATGGGGATGGGGATGGGGATGGGGATGGGGATGGGGATGGGGATGGGGATGGGGATGGGGATGGGGATGGGGATGGGGATGGGGATGGGGATGGGGATGGGGATGGGGATGGGGATGGGGATGGGGATGGGGATGGGGATGGGGATGGGGATGGGGATGGGGATGGGGATGGGGATGGGGATGGGGATGGGGATGGGGATGGGGATGGGGATGGGGATGGGGATGGGGATGGGGATGGGGATGGGGATGGGGATGGGGATGGGGATGGGGATGGGGATGGGAGTGGAGATGTGTGTGGTTGAACATGCACCAAAACTGGAGAATCTCGTTATGCATGAGTGCGAGGAGTGATACGGGTGAGAGGAACGAGAAGAGCGAGAGGAGGAGGATGCAGAGGAGCGCACGTTGTTCTTTTTCGAGTAGATCCCGCAGTGCGCCTCGGGGCGGTACGCGCTCACGAGCGTGATGTCAAACCGCCGCACCGCCGACCCCCCGGGGAACGCGGCGCGCTGCATGGGCCAATAGCGCGAGAGCTGCACGTTGGTTCGCAGCATCTTCTCAATCTCCTTGTCGTTCAGCACGCGCCCCGGCGACCCGCACACGCCGCTGCCGCCGATCTTCTTGGCGGAGTGCTGCGGCGGCGCGGTCATGAAGAAGGGCACGGGGAACGCCTTGCCCGCCTGCCTCCGCGCCTCGAAGAAGTTGGCGATCGTCTTCAGCGCGCGCCTGGCGTGGGCGAGGGGAGAAACGGGGCAGCGGGGAAGGGGAATCGGGGAGAGGAAGGATACGTCAAAGGGGGCATGCGTGAGTGTGCTGCATGCGTACGAGCGTGCATTATTTCCCCTGTGAATCACGCAAGGCCCATGCATTCTCCCTCGCCCCCCGCGCCACTCACACATGCGCCATGCACGGGTCGACGGCGTTGAGCGTCTGCCAGTCGCACAAGCGCCACGCACCCTATTCCCCCTCCCTTTCCCCCTCTCAGCCCACCCCCCTTGCACTCACGCGTGCGCCATGTAGGGGTCGACGCCGTTGAGCGTCTGCCAGTCGTCGTTGGTGAAGATGAGGCGCGGCGCGTCGGGCACCACGCGCCAGTGCGACGTGGTCTCGAGCACCACGGCGTGCCACTCGCCCACGATGTCGCCCCACTGCGGGTTGACGGTCGTTACGTCGATGATCGCGTCGTCGGGGCCGGGCGTGAATCCCGTTGCTAGCTTCGCTATCATGCCCTTGTCTGTGGCGTTGTGTGCAAGTGGGGGGAAGAGGAGGGAGAGGGAGATCAGCTCGGCGCGCCATTACGGCGCGCCACCACGTCGTTCCGCTGCGGGTTCACCGTCTCCACGTCGATGGTCGGGTCGTCGGGGCCGGGCGTAAAACCGGTCGCCAACTTCGCTATCATGCCCTTGTCTGACGGGGGTTAATTGCGTGAATGATTGTATGCGTGGGTGCGTGCAAGGGGCCGGGGGAGGGAGAGAATCAGCACGGCGCGCCATTACGGGGGTCGGGGCGGAAGAGTGTGTCAGGGAAAGAAGGAGGGAGGGAGGCAGCGAGTATTGAGCGCACAGCAGAAGAGGGGAGGGAGGGTTGTCAAGGCAGGGCGCTCTTACACACCGCATTCGCCACGTATGGGTGTCTCCGCGGATCAACCCAGTCCCACGCACGTGGGTGCGCGAGGCTGGCGCAAGTAAGCAGAACTGCTGCCGCGCACCTCGTGATGCGATCACGGCACTGCACGATGCGCGCAGGCAGGTACGTGCGAGGCAGGCAACATGGCTGCGGCACCGCCTCCGCACCTGCCCAACGCATCTATAGCGCTGGCAGAGCTACAGCCCAGCGCTTCCCCGCCACCCCAACCAGCGCTCACCCTGCCCACCCATGGCGCTGCCTCCTCGCCGCGCCACCCAGCGCTAATACGACACTGCTTGACCACCGCCTCCCAACGTACCGACGGACGTTGAGGCGCATGAGGTGCCTCACCGCGCCCCAGGCCCACCCACGGCACTGCCTTCTCGCCGCCTCCCAACTTAGCGACGGACGCGCGCATAGCGATGGTCGTCCTAGATGCTGCCGGCGCTGCGAGGTCCCAGTTACCCACGGCACAGCTTGCCCCGCTACTCCTCGTGGTTATGACATTGCCTACCCGCCCCCCCCAACGTACTGACGGAGGTGCGCATGAGGTAGTCGTCCCAGATGCTGACGATGCGCGCGCTGAACGCGGGGATGTCGTAATAGAACGCCACCATGTCCGGCATGTACTGCGCGCCGCTGCCGCCGTCCAGCGTGCGGCGCGACCCGTTCTTCACCGTCGTGACCTCGCTGATCTGTGCGCAAGCGGCAGTCGCGGAGAGGCGCGGAAGGGAAGGGGAGGAGGGCAGACAAGCGCAGACAGAGGCGGACAAGGTCAACGAGGGCGGAAGATGGCGGAGGAGGGGGGATGAGGGGGGAGGATGGCGGAGGAGGGCGGATGAGGGGGGAGGATGGCGGAGGAGGGCGGATGAGGGGGGAGGATGGCGGAGGAGGGCGGATGAGGGGGGAGGAGGGCGGAGGAGGGGGGACAAGGTCAAGGAGATGTGAGTCCAGAGGAAGATTTGCGAGAGCCACATGGCGAGGCACAGACCCTCCCATCTCACACTCACAGCAGCGACTAGCCCTTGACCCTCTCCTCACCTGGCAGAGCAGCGAGGGCACGAAGTTGGCGGCGGTGAGCGAGTCACCGATGACGGCGATGGTCTTGCCCTTGATCATGTTCAGGAACGACCTGCACCGTGACGGACCACATTTGGATTCAAAATAAGATCCGATTCAGATTCGCGGTGAGGGTGCGGATTCGATCAGCATGCGCTGCACGCCAGCACATTGCGATGGGCCGATGAGGGGACGGGAAGCCGCAATGAGGATAGCGCGGCGCAAGCAAGGACTGCGGCACTGGTCTGAAAGCGGCGGTGATGACAGCAACGAGCGGGGTGCGTGTGGTCTAGGTTGACCGCGAGCTGTGGGGGTGCGATGGCGAGCGGATTCATTGGCGATACAGGGACGCACGAGGGGCCAGCGCGGGGGAAAGACGCACTTGGAGTTGAAGCGGAGCGTGCGGCCGCAGCTTTCGGAGTACCACGAGTAGCGCACGAACCCGCTGTCCGGCCGCCCGTTGCCGCGACACCGGGAAATTTGAAACTGCGCAGAGGGGGGACGCGCGGATTGGGGGAGGGCGCGCGGAGGGCGAAATGCGGAGTGGAGGGGAGTGGAAGATTGCGGAAAGTGAGGGGAGGGGGGAGGGAGGGCAGAAGTGACAGAGGCAAGGAAAGAGGAAAGGGGACGCACAGGGGGGCGCGCGGCGGGCTTACGAGGAAAGGGCAGCTCTCATCGTAGGGCGGCCGCGACGAGTCCGCCACCCATTTTCCATCAAACAGATCGCATGACAGCGCTAGGCCAATGAGAACGCTCCACGTCAATGCTGTGCACTGTAACGCTAAACTGCCGCCGCGTCTGCTGCAGTGCCACCACATGGCACCTGCGGCTCGACGCTGCCCTTGTAACGACTAAATTGTCCGTGGGTTGGACAAGCGGGTAACCAATCTACATACAAGTGTGGTAGCGTAAAACAGGTTCTAAACCCGTGCTGAGTGCTAGCGTGTGAGTCGTTAGTCGAGGCTTCCTGCAACACCTAGCAATGTAGCGCCATTCGCGGCGAGTTTCTCGTGAAAATGCAAACGCCGCTTGCGACGGGTTGGCGCGTCATGATTGTACGCGGTAGGGCGATGCGAGGCTGGGTGGCAACAAGACGTGATCCGCACGTGGGGAGTTTAGAGGTTGAGCGATGGCAAACTGAGGAGAGCGACGCATGAGCGCGACAATGTCGTGAAGCTTCTTAAATGGGCTGGTTAAAGCGCTAGTATGACATATTTAGCGCGATGAAAGAGCACTTGATCGCGCTAGGTTTGACGCGAGTAGGTATCACTTGTTGCTAGTGCCTACATGGACGATTGGTTTTTACCGTCTGTACTTTCTGCTCCTACTATGTTCGACGTTTCGCCCATCAGGGAGATAAAAACACAGGTCTTGCACCTCACTTGGCATCGCAAGATCAATAGTGCAGCCAGCGCGAGAGCAACGACGGGACAGATCTGATGTGGCAGTGTCGGCTGTATCTCGCAGTGCGCTTGACTGTGCGTGTGTTTCGAGTCCACCCTAGATAGGCGCGCCATAGTGATATGTAGGCTGGAAGAGGGTTGTTGGGCTCAAATGAAACCTATCCGTGAATCCATAATGGTTGTCGGTCAGGTGAAGGAGCATGGGCGAGGAGAGGAGGGGGGAAGTCCTGCCGACGACGGGGCAGAATGACGATGCAGTCGATTCACGCTTCGCTCAGAACCCGAATTTCGACATGCGGCTCGCTCTCGCGGGCAATTTTCGCTCCACCGCCTTAGCGGCGCGAGGCTGTTCGGCGAACGTGTGCCCTCAGATAATGATCCGATTGGTGAGTGATTGATCCTGTCGTTCTAGTGAGCGAGTGTAGCGAAATGTTTGGACGATGGCTACTCGGCGAAGAGGGGGCAAATAACATGCATAAGTTATAATGTTTTACATTATAAACCAGGATAACATGAATACTCATGGATAACATTTTTTTACATCAACCTCACCAGTCACTGCCAAAACCAGGTTAGAAGTTGCATTGGGTCGAAGTGGAAACCCTAATCCAGGATAAACAGAAGCTTGAGCTGGGCCGAAATGGAAATACGTTGCTGACCACTTGTCTAGACTGGAACCCCCTTGTGAACTGCGATTAAACAAGAGTTAATGCCTCCACATAAACTTTTGCAAGAGGAAAGCCAACAAAAGGGCAAAACCACTAGCACTAACCCTAACCTACCGTAATTACTTTCTTCCCCCCCTATGCCAAGGCCTTCTGGACCTTCCACCCCCACCACCTCTACCGCCTTGACCACCCCCTCCGTGGATGCCCTGCACGGCCCGGCCAATGAGCTTCCCACCACCGCCGCCACCTGCACCGCCGTCCTGCCGCACCTTCTTCGGCTGCGGCGCTGCTGCCGCCCCGCCCCTGCCATTTGCTGGCCCTGCCCCTCGCTTCGCCCTGCTTGCAGCAGTGTGGGGGGGGGGGAGTAGAGAGGACGTGGGGGTGGGAAGGGGAAGGGATGAAATAGGGGGAAGGCGGGGTGTTGAAGTGAGATGGGCCTGCCAGGAGCAGCGGAGGCATAGCGAGCACACAAGGCGAGCCGAGCACTTTGCGTGCTCTCGACCACGCAAAACAAATGCAGGGCTGTTGGAGCAGGAGAGCAGTGAGACTTACCCGACTGCTTGTGCTGGGCCAAGCTTGGCAGCGGAGGGCCCTGCAGGGGCAGCAGCCTCGGGCTTCCAAGAGAGCGCCGGTGCCGCCTTGCCACCCAGGAACTGCGGCACGGAGGACTTGAGTGGCTGGGCGGCGGAGCAGCATAGGGCGCGGACGAGGCAAAGGGCAAGAGGCACACAGGAGTGGAGGGGGACAGAGTCAGTGGTGCTTCTGTGCAGGGCGGGTGGGAGTGCACGTGGCAGCTTGCCGTCCAGAAAGGGACATGTGGTGACGTAGGAGTGTGGTGGGGAGCATGTTGGGTGAGGTGGGATGCAGGGACAGTGAGATACTCGTGCACCAGGATGGACAGAACACTCCAGGCACAGCCATGATTGGCCACCGCGAGTGCATGAGATGATTCAAAGAGAATGTTGGCTGCACCACGACTGCTGCTATGACAGGACCCTTGCTGTGACCCCAACACACCTTGCTAAGCTTCTCGATGTTTTGCAGTGCCTTGAGCGTGCGCGCCGCTGCTGCCTTCTTCTCCTTCTGCCATCATTAACCCAGACAGGGTGAGCGTGGGCAACCAGGTGGTGTGCGCGATTGAGCATTTGAACATATGTGCATGTGCTCATGTATGAACGTGTGCATGTGTGAAGCATGCTATGACACAGAAAGTGTAAACACTCTGTGACTCGGGCAGAATACGGAGCAAGCAGGCAGGCAGGCAGGCAGGCAGGCAGGCAGGCAGGCAGGCAGGCAGGCAGGCAGGCAGGCAGGCAGGCAGGCAGGCAGGCAGGCAGGCAGGCAGGCAGGCAGGCAGGCAGGCAGGCAGGCAGGCAGGCAGGCAGGCAGGCAGGCAGGCAGGCAGGCAGGCAGGCAGGCAGGCAGGCAGGCAGGCAGGCAGGCAGGCAGGCAGGCAGGCAGGCAGGCAGGCAGGCAGGCAGGCAGGCAGGCAGGCAGGCAGGCAGGCAGGCAGGCAGGCAGGCAGGCAGGCAGGCAGGCAGGCAGGCAGGCAGGCAGGCAGGCAGGCAGGCAGGCAGGCAGGCAGGCAGGCAGGCAGGCAGGCAGGCAGGCAGGCAGGCAGGCAGGCAGGCAGGCAGGCAGGCAGGCAGGCAGGCAGGCAGGCAGGCAGGCAGGCAGGCAGGCAGGCAGGCAGGCAGGCAGGCAGGCAGGCAGGCAGGCAGGCAGGCAGGCAGGCAGGCAGGCAGGCAGGCAGGCAGGCAGGCAGGCAGGCAGGCAGGCAGGCAGGCAGGCAGGCAGGCAGGCAGGCAGGCAGGCAGGCAGGCAGGCAGGCAGGCAGGCAGGCAGGCAGGCAGGCAGGCAGGCAGGCAGGCAGGCAGGCAGGCAGGCAGGCAGGCAGGCAGGCAGGCAGGCAGGCAGGCAGGCAGGCAGGCAGGCAGGCAGGCAGGCAGGCAGGCAGGCAGGCAGGCAGGCAGGCAGGCAGGCAGGCAGGCAGGCAGGCAGGCAGGCAGGCAGGCAGGCAGGCAGGCAGGCAGGCAGGCAGGCAGGCAGGCAGGCAGGCAGGCAGGCAGGCAGGCAGGCAGGCAGGCAGGCAGGCAGGCAGGCAGGCAGGCAGGCAGGCAGGCAGGCAGGCAGGCAGGCAGGCAGGCAGGCAGGCAGGCAGGCAGGCAGGCAGGCAGGCAGCAGGCAGGCAGGCAGGCAGGCAGGCAGGCAGGCAGGCAGGCAGGCAGGCAGGCAGGCAGGCAGGCAGGCAGGCAGGCAGGCAGGCAGGCAGGCAGGCAGGCAGGCAGGCAGGCAGGCAGGCAGGCAGGCAGGCAGGCGAGGCAGGCAGGCAGCAGGCAGGCAGGCAAGGCAGGCAGGCAGGCAGGCAGGCAGGCAGGCAGGCAGGCAGGCAGGCAGGCAGGCAGGCAGGCAGGCAGGCAGGCAGGCAGGCAGGGCAGGCAGGCAGGCAGGCAGGGCAGGCAGGCAGGCAGGCAGGCAGGCAGGCAGGCAGGCAGCAGGCAGGCAGGCAGCAGGCAGGCAGGCAGGCAGGCAGGCAGGCAGGCAGGCAGCAGGCAGGCAGGCAGGCAGGGCAGGCAGGCAGCAGGGCAGGCAGGCAGGCAGGCAGGCAGGCAGGCAGGCAGGGCAGGCAGGCAGGCAGGCAGGCGGCAGGCAAGCAGGCAGGCAGGCAGGCAGGCAGGCAGGCAGGCAGGCAGGCAGGCAGGCAGGCAGGCAGGCAGGCAGGCAGGCAGGCGCAGGCAGCAGGCAGGCAAGGCAGGCAGGCAGGCAGGCAGGCAGGCAGGCAGGCAGGCAGGCAGGCAGGCAGCAGGCAGGCAGGCAGGGCAGGCAGGCAGGCAGGCAGGCAGGCAG